ACATAGTCTGGCACAATAGGTAGGGGCAGGGCCAGGCTCCTCTCCCATGCATTAAGACTGAACATGGCATCCCACCATGTGGAATGGGCTCCATCAAGCTAGCTCATGCACCAGGATTATATCATGGTCCTACTGTCACTGAGTATGGCATCCCATCCTAAGGAATGGGCTTATATATGGTTTTTACACTAAAATTTCTGATATAATTATATAAGATATCATCCAACTAGTACTTGTCAAATCCTGAATCTTATGCTGCCTTGCTCATTTAATCTGTAGAATAAGGTGGAAGATATTGAGCACCATCCAAGGCATGGAAAATGAAGTAGCATGAAAATAAGTCACATAGCTTGTGAACAACAGAGCTGAGACTTTTTGGCTGGTATCTGTTTGCCTCCAACTATCAAGTTCTTAAACCCTGGGTTAAACACTGCAAGGAGCCACAGTTCTACACAGCAAGCACTTAGAGCCTAACTTAAAAGAATTCAAGGATCCCTACATAAAAATAGTCAGCTCATGTAAATGTTGTAGTTTGGGGGCTTTTGATAATTTGATTTTTGTTTTTTGCTATTCCTGCTCTGGGGAAGGGAAGACAAAACCCAGGGCTTCATATGGGTAAGGCAATCAGTTGACCAGTGCACCACACTGCGCTGTATTTTAATATTCTTATGGAAGTTATGACACCATGTATCATTTTGGTGAGGAAAAGGGTGCTATATTAGAAATATTTTGCTTTAAAACATTGTTTAGTCTTCTTATGTAAAATGACTATGTAAAATAATACAAATTGATGAAAGCTTCTGCAAAATATGCCTTATAAAGGTATGAGATTATAAAGTTAAATGTATGGTATTTGTGCTGAAAATGTGGAAATTCAACCTTTTCACTGATTGGCTTGCATTAACAAAGCTTGCTATACATACTACCAGAGTAATATTATTTACTAAAAAAAGATTTTTACAATCTACCTAGTACTAGTCTATACTTGCTAGCACATGTTAATATAAAAATATATAATTTAAAGTCAATCTACTGTAATCAATTTGAAGTTAGTTTTGAAGTAAATTGGCACTCATATGCCTCTTGCTTCATTTCTTCATTTTTAAGCTATGTATATTAAAGCTAATGCAACTTAAATTTATGTTTACTAAACAATTCACTAAAAATAACTAAAATTTCATTTCATGTTTTGATATGCAGCTAAGAAATTTACCATGTTACACATAGGAATAAGGAACCCAGTCATCACTAAAACATATGATCTCCTCTTCGATATTTCAGCATGCATTTTTTTTCAAATTTGCCATTTGATTTCAACTCTTTTCTAGTTGTAAACATTTTAATTTCATCTAAGAAAGCAATTGCTTATAGGAGACTGTCAGATTTTTTAGTGTTACATGCTAAATCATTATGAAAGATTTACTTTTCATGTAAGACAGCTTTTCATATTAATCATATCACTAGACACATGTTTGCTGAGGTTTAGCCATGGGCAATAAATACAGAATGGCATCGATGGAGCTGTTAAATCTTGGTGCATACATTTCTAACATTTTGTATTGAGTTATGCAAAAAATAATCACCCTACTAAATCCAAGTCAAACATCTCAGAATATTTGGATGCTTAATTAAAAACAAAGTTATGCTTTTCATGTGGGTGATTTTGTTCAGTGATTAAAAAGTCCCTGAAAAATTAATTTAGCTCAGTAAAGAGCACACATGTGACTTCTTTTTGGAGTTAGAAAATGGCTTCTGCTATTTCTACGAAGCCACAATGCAGAGACAAACTAAATAAATGGGGGAAGAAAGTTATGGAAACCTCAACTAAAATAACAAGAATTGGTAAATGTTCTGCTTACTAAGATTGCTTTTCAGCAAAGTTGGAAATTCTTTACTCCATCCATTGTGAGACTCAGTACATAGCCACTAGACCCAAAGTCAATCACAGTCCTAGGGTTTAAATGTATCCAGTTCCATCAGATTAAAGCTCAACCACTTCTGCACTAGGAAAGCACCACCTTCTGGATGCTTTTCCTCCCTGGGAGAGGAAATCCCCACAATCCTCATTGTTAAAGCTAATATGATTAGCATGCAGTTGGAGGTATGAGCATAGCAAAAGCAGAGATCTGATGAAAGATGGTGGGAGGCTAAATTCTGAAACAGGCAACATGGTGCAAGAGCAAAAAGAAGGAGGGATGAGGTGAACAACAGCCTAGGAATGAGTTCTAGATTGTAACAGGGTTCTACAGTGAGACACAATTCTGTATCTTAACTTCTCGCCTGTCATACATTAGTACAGGACTTAACAGGTGATCCTGAAGGCCCCTTTAAACTAATATACAAAATAGTCCATCAAGGAATTTAGTATACCATTTTCCTACATCACTTAACTAATAATTCACTTACAACTTTATTTGTGGAATATATACCAAGATGCAGACCATAAACTTAAGGATATGAAAGTGAACAAGATATACCTGTGGGGGATTGATATCTACAAATTAAAATAAGGTGAGGAAAAAGACAGTGAATCAATACCTTGAAGGATCTTTATTTAGTATAAAATAAGAAACTATACCCTTTGTCATAAAGGTATAATAAAATACCACAGCAAGAGTAGAAAATATAATATACGTGTGATACGATCATGTTTGTGTTCTGATGTTCAGTGGGAACAGTTGGAGGAGAACCCTCACCTACTACAGCACCAGCCAAGAGGGGAAGGAATAAACCCTGGTTTCCTGAGTAGTAATATGTTTAGTTTGGGGTCCTTGAAGTTAAGGTTTCCCAAGATACTGTGAGGCACTGTATAGAAAGCAAAAATTTGGGACTAGATGCATCTTTTGTTCCAGCCAACAACTATGATTTTAGGGATACAGAATTAAATCACTTTGATGCCTACTGTATTGGTTTGATAGAAAATGGCCCCCAAATGGAGTGGTACTGTTAGAAGGTGTGGCCAGGTTGGAGGAAATATGTCACTGTGGAGGCAGGGTTTGAGGTCTCATATATGCTCAAGCCATGCCCAGTGTCTCAGACCACTTCCTGTTGCCTGTGAGTCAAGATGTAGGGTTCTCAGCTATTTCTCCAGCACCATGTCTGCCTGCATGCCACCCTGTTGCACCATGATAATAGACTAAATTTCTGAAAGTGTGAGCCAACCCAGTTAAATGTTTTTCCTTTATAAGAGTTTCTGTGGTCATGGTATCTCTTCACAGCAATAAAAACCCTAAGACAACTACTTTTAAAAACTCTAATGTAGATAATAGCTACTTGAGAAGAACCTTTGAAGATTGAAGTTAGGCATAAAGGGCACAAATATTAAGAAGTTAAAGCCAGAGCTAAACTGGACTAGCTTCCAGACTCTGTTCTCAAAGTCCTTGGCTGCTACACAAACCTACTTAAGAGTCACTCAGGGACTGTCTGCATATAGACTCAAAGATCAGGGATAATTGAAGAGAGCTAGATATTCTGGTGGATATTTTTACTTCAGCATTTAATATATCATTGCTGAATTAATACAATGCCATTACAGATTTTTACAATCTCCTTATGTGACTTATAAATAGATGGATGGTATGTAGGACTGGGTGTGGCCACTATTCACCAAAGTTATAGACCATTGTATTCACATCATGGAAGAGGTCTAAAAAGCCAGTAAACGGACTTCTAACCTGAACCAGCAAAAAGTGTTATTCCCTGGAAACCTAGTCACCAAAATGTTGAAGAACAAAGTTTCATAAGGAACATTTGTAGGTCTGGAAATAGTGGTGGAGAAATATCATAGAAATTTTGGAGAGCTGCTGCATCAATGGTATCTGATTTTGATCCAGTAAATTCCATGATAATGTACTGCTTAACATCTGTCTATTTAGCAAGTTAACCAGTTTTAGTCATATACAAAATACATTTGGGGGATTCTGTTATAGAAAATGACCTCTTTTAAGACTTTCCCATGTAAAAATGTCGGTATTTCATATCAAGGATCTGAATTAATTATCTACTGAACATTGAAAAGAATTCCTTATAGGTTTGTCTGAAGCAGGTGAACTAAGCAGGCAAGACCTTGGTGAGAATAGCCTGGATACCCCAGCAAGAATATTCCGTATAAAGTGTGCACTTCCCAAGTAAAGCAGGTCCTTTTCTGTCTCACACGCTGATTGGGCAGTATCTTTACTAAACTGTATGAGTCTGTAAGTGCAAGAGAGGCACAGCACACAGGACCACTCCTGCATGAAGACTTATGAGAAACAATGTGACATGCAACTGCAATCACCAATGACATATTTCTCTTGAGAGAAAAGGCATTTTCTGAGGTCATCTGTTATTAGACTACTTAACTAATAGCAACCAAATAACCATTCATGATTTCGCCTGGGGACACTTCTGTTTTACTGACACTGTGTGCTTTTACATCTGACAGGCCTGTTATTTTATTGTCATCAGCTGTGCTCACACCACAAAATCTTTAAAACAATTTTTGAGGTTTCCAGAATTAGTTTCTATTAGCGACAATAAATCCGGGCCACATTTAATGGAATAATTTAGGAATAAATGTTTCAAACATTTTCTAATAAATAATAATGAATGAAGCTGAGCCATTTTTTAATGTCTCCAATGTAAATGCAGACAGTAGTGGATTCTAGGATCAGGGAAGCCATAACTTTGAACTCTATGCTTTAGTCATAGTTTCCAGTAAAAATGTGCTAAGAATGAGTAATAAGAATTACCAAGTTGTGGAATCCTGGGCTATCCCATTCATCTTTCTGAAAAAGCCCAATATGTACCTCATTATAATAGCTGCAAATCTGTAGAGTGACTTTGGGGAATCACCCATTCACTTTGCATCACTGATGCTTCTCCACTCCCCCTGCCAGAACCTCATTATTCATAGAGCCATATATTGAAAACCTACTTGAAACCAGAAGCATTATTTTCCTCATGAGTTACTTCATGCATCAGGGTAAAAATGTATTTTGTAGATGAAATGATAGTCCTACCTGTCTCACAGCTGGGTCCAGTGAAGCCTTGTGGGCATGCACACACGTTGGCAGCGATGCAGGCACCTCCATTTCTACAGCCATCTTTACAGAAAGCTACAAGAATCCAGACACATGAATAAATCAGACAAACAGTATCAGATAGATGGCTGTCACTGTGGTGTAAGTAAGCCACTCCATAATCTCTACACCCTGCTTTTCTTTATTCCCTTGCAGATGTGACATCAACTGATAAAAGATACCATAATTTCATCATGATATACTATTTTCTACACCTGAGAGAAACTCAGTATGAGTTTGGAAGCAATTTCTAACAGTGAGGAAATAGTTTGCCTGAAACATAACAAAACAGTCACCTTACACAGTGTGAAGCGCATCACAGTTTGTGTTGTATTCAGTTGTAAAAACCACAGTTGAAAACAAACACTAAAAAGTAGTAGCCATTGTAGATGAGGTGGATAATTGGAGAATGGGAGGAAGAAATGAGAAATGATGGACTCTGGAGGCTTTGGGCTACCTACATGAGGGCTAGAGTGCTAAAACATCAGGGAAGGGTCTTGGCCTGTCCTAAATTCTAAGCTGGGTCTGCTGACATAGACACACTCAACTGTAAGAACCACTAGCCCCGGTGGCCTTCTGGGAGAATGGTATTCACATGCTAAGGAGAATGCTATCTGTTAGCATCTACACCTACTTCCTGGGTTACTTATACTTTTTTGACCAACTTCACATCAGATAGGAATCAGAATCAAGCAGAAATAGAGAAGGAAGCACTGGGGCCCAACAACTCCAAACCAGGTGTTTTAAAGGAAATTGTAAGGGTTTAGCAATATTATTTGTCTGTTTTCCAAGCAAATGCTTTGCTTGCAATTTTGACTACAAAATGAGCAGAACTTCTTTATGATGATCTACATGAGGAGGTATGAAGTTTTAAATACCAATGCATCCCACAGTGCATTGCAGACAATGCCTCCCGACCTATTCCTACCAATGCATCCCATGGTGCACTACACACCAGGCCTTCTGACCAGCTCCTTCCAATGAAATTCACAGTGAACTGCACACCAGGCCTTCTGGCCCATTCCTGAACCACTGCACTGACTTGGTCTTTTCTTCTTACAGACCTTCTACCACAGTAAATCTACTCCCCTGAATGTCAAGGTAGAGGTGGGCAGCTATGGAGGCTTTTATGAATCAATTTTATAAATCAATGGACACTAAGGAATATGAAGTCTATCTTATAGGATTTGGTTGTTTTAAAAATAGCTCTTCATTTCCCATGTGAAGGGTATAAGCTCATCTGGGGAAGAAGGATTGGAGGAATGTGAGTTAGTGAATGGCAATGAACTACAGCTGCAATGTCCACTGATGTAAACTAAAATCTGAGGTGGACATTTAGGGACTGTCAACTGGCACTAAAAAAATTGCTAAAACAAGAAACTACAACATACAGAGACCTGGTATGCATAGTTAACATTAATCCCACCATGACAGAAACTCAAGAAAGTGTAAGAAATGGGGTGGTATTTCAAGGCAGATTAACAGTGTTAGATGTGAGTAGGTCATGCTTCCAGGAAAGTCGCTATCATGATACATTCATGTTTGAGCCCGACAACAAAACACCTGAGGCTGGAAGACTGGTAAACCAAAGGGCAGCAAACATTCAAAGACAAAGAAAAAGGTTTAAGGAAGCAGAGCGAGCACATTAGAAGAGGAGGAAAATTGGAATGAGGAAAAATAAATGATGAGACAGAGTTTCAAAGATGGAACCATTTGTTATATGGTTTAAAAACCCCAGGATGTGGCTGTGGGTGTTGTTTTTAGAGAAAGACAGTTATGTAAATTGCTGTAGCTGAAGTCACAAAAGATTAGAGAAAAAAAGCCAAGCTGCTTGGCTACATAACTGTGGGAGTATCCAAGGAGGGTGACAGGAGCTGAGAGGAAGGCAATGGTAACAACACTCAGGAATACTCAAGCTTCATATCCATAAGGTACAGAAGAGGGACGCAAAGGGAGAAAAGACAGGAGATGGGAGGCTCTGTGTCTGGTGCAGTGGAGTAGGAACAAAAGTGTTCCACCTTTGCATATTGTTCCGTTCCCAGTGTAGCCCGGCTTGCAGACGCAGTTGTGTCCTCCAACAGTGTTAAAGCATAAAGCATTTTCGTCACAGTTGTGTTGATTTGTGACACACTCATCATGTTCTGAAATGAAGAATACAGTTTTGTTACCCAAAGATAATTTTCAAAGCTACCACACTTTAAATGTGTTCATTAGATAGCAGTTCTTCCCACCATAGATATAGGCAAATTATAAACTAAAAACAACCTCAAATCATTTCAAGTTTTGAAGTATTATGTGCTATTATAGAACTACACATATCATTCATATTTTTAACTAGTCAGTCCAAAAGTATCTGAAAAACAGGATGACCAGTGACAGGATAGAATGGATGTTCTCAGAGGCAAATGCCTAAGTCAGGTATATAACCTCTGTGATTGGACTTAGGGAGTTATCCTTGTAAAAGTAAGTCTGACTAACTGTTCCTTGTAACATGTGATTCTAACAGGGAAGGATGAATAATTGTTTTACTCTTATGGTAGTTTGAATACAAATGGCCCCCATAATCTCACAGGGAGTGGCACTATGAAGGAGGTGTGGCTTTGTTGGAGTGGGTTGGTCTTTTGGAGGAAGTGTGTCACTGTGGGGGTAGGCTTTGAGGTTTCCTATGCTCAGGTTACTGCTTAGTGTCTCAGCTGACTTTCTGTTCCCTGCAAGCCAAGATGTAGCCAGCACCATATCTGTCTGCACACCACCATGCTCCCTGCCATGATGATAATGGACCAAACCTCTGAAACTGTAAGCAAGCCACTTCAATTAAGCCATGATCATGGTGTCTCTTCACAGCAGTGGAAATCCTAACAAAAACACTCTAAAATTCTTGTCCTGCAGGATCACAGGGCTGAAATTCTAGGAGCTGGATGCCACCAGTTCACATTTGCAGATGTTCTTGCCATCCTGAAGGTTTTTATGAACCTTCATAACATGTTGTGGGGAGATTTTGCCTTCAATGTCCTCTCTCCACAAAGGAAGCATCCTCTGTCTACTTGATAAGAGAGATTTGTTTTCCTAATAATACATGTATCTCACGTGTGCAAGCCCACATGAGATACATAGACAATCTGATGTCCCCTTCAGCTGGGAATAGCTTGTTACTTTTCAAAGCCCTCAACATTTGATGCCTTTTAGCACTCCTGTGAGAGAGGCAGACCAGATCACAATACCAAGGATAAGGCAATTGTGACTTAAATAATAACACATCTTGCCTGAGTTCTAGGAGTATTAAGTGATTTCAGCAAAAATATAGAAGTTAATAATAAATATAATAAAATTTGTATGGGGGAAGGGATCTAATATGAAAAACAATGTGTGCAGGAAACAAAATATGTAAGGACATGTACACAGATTAGTTTAGGTCCCTAAACTATTTTATTCTTTGGGTTTCTTTCACATCACTGTTTGCTTTTCATTTTAGAGCTCTGTACCCAGGGCATTTCAACATTAAGATAGCTGTAACTTCAATAATTCTGCATTTGATATATATGGTTGAGAGTATACTGTGTGATTTAAGGCAACTCTGAATGGACTGCCCCATGTTTTATTTTTTTTTAAAAAAAATATGCATTAACATTCCACTGTGGTCCCATGTCTGGTCTTACAAAGGAGCCCAGTTATGATCATTTTAACTCTAACCATGCAATAAAACTTTTGGAAACTATTCCCAATAAATCCATTAGAGGAACACAAGATCATCAATATTAATGCTTAAGAACTGCAGCAATGGATGCATTATTTTTAAGTTCCTAGCAAAATTACTCAAATACTAAGTTCTAACTCCCCATTCTTCTCTAATATCAGAACATCTTATAGCTGTATGACTCTGTGCTCATCAGTAGTAGTGTAGGAAAAGTGCATGGTTCCTTCCACAGATGACTTGTATTAGGCATTGAAAAAATGTCCAAGGGGCCAGAAGGAGCAGGATGCCTTCATTTGGATTCTTCTAGCTGAAACAACAACAGAAATCTGTGCTCTGAAGTTTGTGCCTGCTGTCATTTTTCTTCTCAGTAATTAATCTACAAATCCATATGGTGATAATCACATACCCTTTAAAGAAGCCACTGATAGGTTAAACACTATTGTCACTCCTGCCCATCTTGTCTTCTTTGTTATCTGAAGCTCACTGTGTAGAGAATGGGCATAACTGGGTTTGTTTAGAACCCAGAATGTAATGTTCTACAAATATTAAATAGTCACCAAATGAAATGACCTGGATTGCCCTCTTCTCACTTTCTTGTGGTTCCTGAGAGCAGGCTGTGTGCTCCTGGGCAATTCAAAGGCAGAGCCAGTGTTTCTGGTTTCTTAACATGCCTTTATAATCATGGCTGGTAGTACCTGAAGTACCCTTTTCCCCAGGTTCTCCTGGAAAACACTACCCATCCTTAGAGATCACACTCAAGTTCCAGGCCTTTTGTGAAAAGACTTTCATGTCTTCTGCCTGCAAAGTCTGGGTTCCTGTTGGTCTGAGAACCACATACCAGTTTCTGCTGCTCTGTAGTACCATACACAGTCCTTTCTCTCCACTCTTCTAATTTCAACCTTACTCTTGCATTGTAAGTATTTAGACAATGATGCTTTTCCTTTGGATTTCATTTCACAATAGAGAATGTTTCTTGAGCTATACAGTAGATAGACTGTTTGTTGAGATATACAAGTAGATTATACATGTACACACACATACACACACATATACACACATACATATATATGATATATATATATATATATGGAGAGAGAGAGAGAGAGAGAGAGAGAGAGAGAGAGGAGAGAGAGTGGAATTCCTTCAAATACAGATGTTACATAAAACAATAATATATTTTTATTCTTAATTAACTCTTAACTTTGGCAGGTTGACATATTACATGTTAGGATCTTTCTCAGGATAAATGGATTATTATAAATTGAAGCCACTTTCAAACAGCTTACAGCTTAGTTGGTTGGTAAGGCAGAAAACATGCCCATGGCTGCCATCATGATATGCACCAGAGCAAAAATGTAAAGACACTTATAGATTGATCATGAGATCAAGGAAGGGGGAGCCACTCTCCTTGGCCAGGCAGAGGTCCAATTCATGGAGAACAGGATATTTGTCATGAACATTTCTTTACATATATTTGGGTGTGGAATCACAGATTCTAAATTACAGTGGCATCTACATACATTGATTCTCTTGTTTTTGGAACACTGATTCCCTTACAGATTTGAATGAAACACAATGATTTTGATAACTACAGTGTGAGTCAATGCTTATGAAAAACCACATAGTTTGTAAGTAATTTAGTTCTCACATTAGTTGGAAATTATGTACAATTATTTTATAAAAGGTTAAATTTGCTCTGTAGAGGTTAAGAAATGTACCCAAGATTACAGGTTTAGCAGCTGTTAGAATTCTGAAACAAGGCCGCCGGCCAGAACCCCTACTGAGTTGAGTGTACCCTCTGCTCCTGTCCTACTCCTGCCCAAAGTCCCCATCACCCCCGGAACTCTCTGGGACTGCGCCTGCACAGAGTGGGCCTGTCCAGACAGGGAGGAGCACTCTGAGTCTGGAAACACCTCACTCTTCCTTCCCTCTCTGCCGGCCCGACCTCCACTGAGTGAGGATACTACCAGAAGAGGCAAGACCATCCAGATCTACAGACATTGAACTCTTGGCCCACACACACCACCAGGTGACAAGAGGAGATAGAGAGACCCCACCTGCACCCACTGGAAGAAGAGATGAGAAGAAGACAGAATAAGAAACAACAGAAAGGCCAATATGACACCACCAGCAAGATCTGAAGAAGAGATGGACCTCAAAAATTATCTTAGGAAGATGATAAAGACCTTTAAAGAGGAAACAAGGAAATCCCTTAATGAAACAGAAGAAAAAACAAGCAAAAAATTACATGAAATGGAGGAAAAGACAAACCAAAAAATTCAAGAAATAAACAAATCTCTTAAAGAATATAAGAAAGTCAAGGAAAACAACCAAACAAGTAAAGGAAGCACTTGAAACAGTTCAAGGCATGAAAGCTGAAATAGAAACAAAGAAAACACAGAATGAGGGGATTCTGGAAATAGAAAGGCTGGATTAAAAAATCAGGAACTAACGATGTGAGTATAACCAATAGAATACAAGAGATGGAAGAGAGAATCTCAGTTGGTGAAGACTCGCTAGAGGATATAAAGTCATCGACCAAAGAAAATCTCAAGTCCAACAAATCCCTAACACAAAATATCCAGGAAATATGGATATTTCCGTGAAAAGGCTAAAGCTAAGAATAATAGGTATAGAAGGTAAAGAAATAGAGCTCAAAGGTACAGAAAACATATTCACCAAAATCATAGAAGAAAACTTCCCCAACCTACAGAAGGATATGCCCATGAAAGTACAAGAAGCTTACAGAACACCAAACAGATTGTACTACAAAAAAGAAGTCCCCTCAACACATAATAATCAAAACACCAAACCTACAGAATAAAGAGAAACTATTAAGAGCAGCAAAGGAAAAAGGCCAAGTAACATATAAAGGCAGACCTATCAGAATCACACCAGACTTCTCAATGGAAACTTTGAAAGCCAGTAGGTCCTGGATATATATCCTACAAACACTAAGGGAGCATAGATGCCAACCCAGAGTACTGTACCCAACAAAACTATCAATCACTATAGATGGAGAAAACAAGATATTCCATGACAAAACCAGACTTAAACAATACATATCCAAAAATCAAGCACTACAGAAAGTTCTGGAAAGAAAACTCCAACCCAACAAAGATAACTACACTGACAAAAACATAGGCAATAGATAATCCAATTTTACCAAACAGAAAAAGAAACAGGAGGGCGAAATCCATACACAATGACACCACCAACAATAAATCCAGAACAAATAAGAACCAACAATCAATGGACATTAATATCCCTCAATGTCAATGGTCTTAATCTGCCTATAAAAAGATACAGGTTAACAGAATGGATACAGAAACAGAATTAATCCTTCTGCTGTATACAAGAAACACACCTCAACTTCAAAGACAGCCGTTACCTCAGAGTAAAAGGATGGGAAAAGATTTTCCAATCAAATGGGCCCAAGAAACAAGCTGGTGTAGCAATCCTAATATCTAAGAAATGAGAAGAAAAACAAAAATTAATCAAAGGAGAGGAAGAAGGGCATTTCATACTTATCACAGGAAAAGTCCATCAAGATGAAGTCTCAATCCTGAACATCTATGCTCCAAATATGAAGGCACACACATTTGTAAAAGAAACATTACTAAAGCTCAAACCACACATGAGACCCCGCACACTTATACTAAGAGACTTCAACACCCCTCTTTCACCACTAGGCAGGACCACCAGACAAAATCTTAACAAAGAAACAAAGGATCTGACAGAAGTTATGACCCAACTGTGTTTAACAGATATCTATAGTACATTCCATCCAAACACAAAAGAATATACCTTCTTCTCAGCGCCACATGGAACCTTCTCTAAATCTGACCACATAGTTGGCAACAAAGCAAACCTCCACAGATACAAAAAATTGAAATAACCCCCTGTATCTTATAAGATCACCATGCTTTAAAGTTAAAATTCAACAGCAATACAAATTGCAGAAACCTACAAACTCATGGAAAATGAATAACACGCAATTGCACCATTCCTGTGTTGAGGAAAAAATAAAAAAATTAAAGACTTCCTAGAATTTAATGAGAATGTAGACACAACATACCCAAACTTATGGGACACTCTGAAAGCAGTTATAAGAGGAAAGTTCATAGCACTAAGTGCCCACATGAAGAAACTGGAGAACAGTCACACTAGAGAACTGACAGAACAACTGAAAATTTTAGAGCAAAAAGAAGCAAACTTACCACGGAGGGGTAGACGCCGGGAAATAATCAAACTGAGGGCTGAAATCAACAAAGTAGAAACTAGGAAAACATTACTAAGAATCAATGAAACAAAGAGTTAAAAAAAAAAAAAAAAAACAAAAATAGACAAACTTCTATCCACACTAACCAAAAGGCAGAGAGAGAGAGAGAGCACACTAATAAACAAAATCAGAAACGAAAAGGGGATATAACAACAGCCACTGAAGAAATCCAGAGAATAATCAGGTCATACTCTGAAAACTTGCACTCCACAAAATTCAAAAATCTAAAGGAAATGGACTATTTTCTGGATAGCTATCACTTACCAAAATTAAACCAAGAACAGGCAAGCAGTTTAAATCTACCTATAACCCCTGATGAAATAGAAGCAATTATCAAAAGCCTCTCAACCAAAAAAAGCCCAGGGCCAGGTGGCTTCATTGAGAATTCTACCAGAAATTCAAACAAGAGCTAATACCAGTACTCCTCAAATTGTTCTGCACAATAGAAGCAGAAGGGACATTGCCAAACTCTTTTATGAGTCTATAGTCACTTTGATACTCAAGCCATACAGAGATACAACTAGAAAGAACTACAGTCCAATATCCCTCATGAACATCGATGCAAAAGTACTCAACAAAATATTGGCGAATCGAATCCAAGAACCCATCAGAAAAAATCATCCACTATGATCAAGTAGGCTTCTTCCCAGGGATGCAAGGATGGTTCAACATATGAAAATCCATCAATGTAATCCACCATATAAACAAACTGAAAAAAGACAAACCACATGATCATCTCACTAGATGCTGAAAAAGCCTGACAAAATCCACCATCCCTTCATGATAAAGATCTTTGAGAGAACAGGAATAACAGGAACATATCTAAACATGATAAAAGCAATATATACCAAACCATCAGCCAATATCAAACTAAATGGAGAGAAACTCAAAGTGATTCAGGAACAAGACGAGGCTGTCCACTTTCTCCATATCTCTTCAATATTGTACTTGAAGTTCTAGCTAGAACTATAAGACAAGAAAAGGAGATCAAAGGGATACAAATTGGAAAGGAAGAACTCAAACTTTCATTATTTGCAAATGATATGTTAGTCTACATGAATGAATGGAAAAACTCCACCAGGGAACTCCTACAGCTGATAAACACCTTCAACAAAGTAGCAGGATACAAAATTAACTCAAAAAAATCAGTAGCCCTACAATATACAGATGATAAATCCAATGAGAAAGAAATCAGAGAAACATCACCCTTCACAATCTCCACAAGCAACATTAAATATCTTGGGGTAATGCTAACCAAAAAAGGGAAAGACCTGTACAGTAAATACTTTGAGTCTTTAAAGGAAGAAGTTAAAGAAGATACCAGAAAATGGAAAGATCTCCCATGCTCTTGGATAGGTAGAATCAACATAGTAAAAAGGGCAATCTTGCCAAAAGCAATCTACAGATTCAACACAATCCCCATCAAAATCCCAACACAGTTCTTCACAGACCTTGAAAGAATAATACTCAACTTTATATGGAGAAACAAAAGACCCAGGATAGCCAAAACAACCCTGTACAATAGAGGAACTTCTGGAGGCATCACCACCCCTGACTTCAAGCTCTATTATAGAGCCATAGTTCTGAAAACATCTTGGTATTCACACAAAAACTGACAGATAGACCAATAGAATTGAATTGAAAACCCTGATATTAACCCACACATGTATGAACACATGATTTTTGACACAGAAGCTAAATCTATAACAAGGGGAAAAAGAAAGCATCTTCAACAAATGGTGCTGGTACAATTGGATTCGGACATGCACACGATTGCAGATAGATCCATATCTGTCACCCTGCACAAAACTTAAGTCCAAATGGATCAAAGATCTCAACATAAATCCAGCCACACTGAATCTCCTCAAAGAGAAAGTTGGAGATACCCTTGAACGAATTGGTACAGGGGACCGCTTCCTGAACAGTACTCCAGTAGTACAGACAGTGAGATCTACAATTAATAATAAATGGGACCTCCTGAAACTGAGAAGCTCTGTAAGGCAAAGGACACAGTCAGTAAGACAAAACAGCATCCCACAGAATGGGAAAAGATCTTCACCAATCCCACAATTGACAGACAGCTGATTTCCAAAATATACAATGAACTCAAGAAACCAGCCACCAAAACACCAAACAGTGAAATTAAAAAGTGGGGTGCCTAACTAAATAAAGAATTCTCAGCTGAAATGGCTGAAAGACACTTAAGAAAGTGCTCAAAATCCTTGGCCATCAGAGAAATGCAACTCAAAACAACTCTGAGATACAATCTTACACCAGCCAGAATGGCTAAAATAAAAAACACCAATGATAATCTATGCTGGAGAGGATGTGGAGAAAAAGGAACACTCCTCCATTGCTGGTGGGAGTGCAAACTTGTAGGACCACTTTGGAAATCAGTATGATGGTTGCTGAGAAAAATGGGAGTCAGTCTACCTCAAGATCCAGCAATTCCTCTCTTGGGCAGGAAATAATGCACATTCATACAACAAGGACATATTTTCAACTATGTCCATAGCAGCATTGTTTGTAATAGCCAGAACCTGGAAGCAACCTAGATGCCCCTCAACTGAAGAATGGATGGAGAAAATGTGGTACATGTATACAATGATGTTCTACTCATCAGAAAAAAGCAATGGAATCTTGAAATTCGCAGGCAAACAAATGGAACTAGAATGAGGTAAATGGAATCCTGAATGAGGTAAC